ACTCTTGTCTTATCACTATGTGGAGTTATAGATAAGTTGTATGCACACTAATACTAATGTACAAGAAACACAACCATGATTATCAACCAGAATATACTCTTCTACAGAAATATGTGATATTTGTTTGGTCAATGAGAACTATGAGTTCTTGTTATATACTAATACTAATTATATACATACATTCGTATCTATAATAAATTTTTCAAGAATGCAATCTTGCAAGCGAAAACGTAGGTCAATAAATATACCGAAGCATACGACTTAGCAAGGGAGTTAAGAGCCCAACCCATCCTTGTTGATATCTACAATGCTATATGTTGGTCTGATGAAGCATGGAATACTGTTACTGAAGCGACTATACGAAATTGTTGGACAAAAACGGGTATTCTTCCTGATATCTCTGATATGGACGCACTGGATATTGATAGGACGGCAGCGGAAATGCAACAATACATTGACATGCTTGAGATCGATGAACCATTCATTGCTGGCCGCAGAGTTTATTACTATCGATAATGAAGTACCAATTGAACACCTTGATGATGATGAAATTCTTGCGACTATGCAGGAAAAAGAAGGCGATGATGAAAAAGCGGCTGAACCACAGCCCAATATTTCTTTAAAGTTGGTGCTGGAAAGTGTGGATAATCTATTGCAGTTTATCAGTAATTCTCCAAAGAACTTCTTTTTGATCCGAAGACGTTATCAATTCTACGTATACTGAGGTCGAAGATTTCTCATTATCAAATAGATACATTACGTCAATCACAGATTGATTACCGACGCCAAGGCGGTGGAAACTAATAACCTCACCCAAGCTCGCACGGAAGCGGCAAAAGCGGTTAAACAGCAGTGAACTAATGACCAAGTTGCCCCTCTTGTCCAGACCGAACATTAATTTCCTTTTTTCTATCTCAGAACCTTTACTTTTTATATTTTCCAATTCTTCTAAAACTCCTTTAGCACTTGAGTTCATCCAGGTCGTTCGTGCAAATCTGCTCGCCATAGCAATAGTAATTTTTACGTGTTTGCATATGTCTCCGTCGCAGAACTGTAAAGATAAAAAATTCTGTGAGTGACATAAGGCCATCGGGCCCCGTTTCACAGCTATTGGGCTCCCCAACGACCCGATCTTAGAACGGGAAAAATTGCTCACACTCCCTTCGAGTAGAGATGCCCGCACCTACAGTCGTTAATTTATCGAGATTCCTGACAAAAGTTTTATTCCAAGTAGACAAAAATTCAATTCAGGTGGGTTTTTATAGGTTTGTCAGAAGAGACGTATGGCGGTCGTGTTTTATTAATGTTTGAGACATTTATTGTGTTAATTATGTTTCGGAATAGTTGGCGTCTACAATCGAGGCCGTTTGAGCAATTGATATTGTAATGGCTGATATGCTTACAAACAATTTGTTAGACGTTCTGCGGCGCAAATGAGCAATTGATATTGTGATGGCTGGTAAGCTTACCATTTGGGCAATCAATCGACAAGGTTTAATTTCCAATTGTTTTTTCCGATCGAAACAATTGGTATTGTAATTATAATGGCAAACAATTTGATCAATGGAAGTAAGTGGATTTCATTTTCAGTTGGTTGTCATGCATCAGCGATTTGGCGTATATGATACAAGGCGGCTTAAATACATACACTAAGGGAACGGCGTATAAGTGGGGCGTTTCTTTTTCTATTACAAAACACCCGATAGACTCGCCTGATTTATTAATGAGGGTCAATTTGGCTTGGCTAATATCCGTGAAAGTCTTAAGGAAGCAAGGATTAAACAGTATGAATGAAATAACTTAGTTTTTTTTTTCAATGGCATAAAAGTACATGGAAGTCGCTTCGAACACGAGACCATACTAGAATTACGTTTTTAGAATAAATAAAATAATTGCAGGGTACAGAAAAATGGCGTAAAATTTTTATTCGACCGGTTTGATACAAATTTTGGATAAGAAACATATTAGATTTTTAATTATGAAGAACAAGTCTCGGCCCTCCTCTTCTTTACGAGCGTTAAAATTGTATGCGATTCCGCAAGCGTTGACAGGTATCGCACAAGTCAGTTCGCGGGCTCATGATTTGGATTTGCGGAGTTAATCGATGCCATAATTTGCGAAAAAGCATCATACTTGAGGGCTCTCAAATTACTCTCTTCTTCCAAGCCAGCTAAAAAATCACGATGAACAGATTTATAGCTCATTTCCGCCGGCAAAAAAAATAATTGATTGGGTAACTCGGTTGACATTTCTTACCAGACTTGGTAATCCGTGGACTTCGGCATAATTTAAGAGAAAATTCTTTACAGTAATAGCCACGTTTTTTATCGATAACCATCTTGGTTTTTCATTGTGGCATTCTTTTTACATTACCGTGTACTCGGGAAAGAAGGCCATTTTTTTAATCAAACGTTCTCTAATACTTCCAAAATAATTGCAGGCATATTAAGATAGGTTTTTTGATAAATGGGTATATTGCGATTCCAGCAATAAAAAGTTCTCTTGTTGATTCGAGAGGTCGACTAGTATTGCTTGTTCCTCCATCAGGAGACTTGAATTGGGCCATTAAGAAAATATCTTGTTCGGTTTCAGTCAGAACTTGAAAGCTTCCCGCAATTCAGCAAAGTCTTTTTTCGGCACCTTGGCAGAACAACCGCAGTCACGGGCCTTGTTCTAAAAAATGAAGAGCTTTCTGGTATTCATTCATATTTTTATTATCCACTATATATGCATAATTTTTATGTACTGGTTTTGTTAAATTTCGATATCGTTATCGTTATCGTTATACATAGTAATATTAATAGCGCGTATAAAATTGAAATATATCAATACGCAATCCGGAGTGTTTGTATAACCGTTACCAATAATAATAATGGATGAAGAAAGCTTTATCGTTATGTACCGAAAAGAGGTGGTAAAAATTCGAATCCTGTTTGTAACATTTTTTCCGTACCGACAATTAAAAAAGTGGTCTTTAAAAAAAACCCGAATATTTATCGTTGGAACAGCAAGTTAAAGTATTAGTATATAAACTTTTAGACTACATTAATGATTGTGGTGTTGAAGAACATGTTCCATTCGGAACCATTAATAGACACTACTTCAGAATT